CACAAATGAAAAATATACCAGATTACTGGTCATCTTAGCTTAGAGCATCTGGAAAGTGGATGTACCTATGGAGTTTCGATTTCTCTAGTTGAAGCACGAAGGTTCCACCGAGATATCAGCTTCAGTGGCCAGAAGAGGCTGGAGCGCCGGTAGGTCAAACGACTCAGAATCGCAAGAGCGTCGGTAGACAGCAGGTGTCCATGAGATGGAGGCCAATGTCATTAGAAACACCTAAGTACCTTCACAACTTATTTGATGCACGGGTCCAGGAAAGCTCTTTGTAAGGACGGCCCGATATACATCGGAAGCTGGTCTGCTTCCAGTCACTGAACCGATCATTTTGAGTAACTCTACCGACTTAGTGGATCAAGATAATGTCGAGACGCTGTCATCGCAAAGACAGGACTGGGAGTAGTGCGAATGTTTGCGAATCTCCGTGACTTAGTAAGCTACGCTGTGCGGCGTTTGTAACTGATTTTCAATCCAGTTGTCAGATAGGTAGATAGGAGACAAATAAATTCAGTCACGGTCCTCCTACTCGGAGGTTAGTGACAAGGTCGACAGATAAGTCACCTCAAAAGTTAACCATAGGAGGCAACAGTCTACGAGTCCTAAACTCAACTAGATCAGCGTAGATCAGGAACGCTGCTTGCCGTCTCGGATGGTTGGAGAGCCCTACCATTCGGATGTTCAAATGATGCCATAATCATATGCAGGTGCGGTAGTCATGGAACCCTTCCGCAACTTGATTCCATTGATCGCACCATTTGCGGTGACACCTCACTCCGAGCGGTGTCCGAAAAGTACAGTGGTTTATGGAAAGCTCCCTTGGGTTTGGCACAAGTACGCCAGAGATGCCCTGTCACTCCATTTCTCCTCAAATTTGTGATAGATGTCACCAGTGACAAACTTACAGCACGTGTCACACTCAACCAACATACAAGCACCACTGTGTAGGATGACAAGAAACTTTGCATGACTTAGGTGTGCGTTGAATACTCAGCGTTTTGCCAAACTGAACCAACTCGCCTTTATTTCTCACCAACGCCCAAAAACAAATCGAAGTGGTCGACCAAAAGGAGCAATACACGCGCCGCTCTAGCTATATGGTCCTTTAGAGCATCAATAACTGAAGGTGGTCAATGGAAGTACTTATAACGCCGCAGTGTAGTAAGTGATATGATATGGGTCAGATACCTCGCCACTACGCAGCAAAAACATTGAGACCGACCGCATCTGACCGTCGTTGCCCGTGCGGTGCTGATAGCGTTTGGTGGGAGGACGGAATGCGTAATGCAACAGCTCTTGACAACAGGCTCCTTAGTGCCACTACAGTGCCTAATGAGACTAGAGCACCTTCGATGGCTTGGTCATGTGCGCTGCATGACAGTAAGCCACCTACCTCGGCTTGTATTGCTTGCCAATACTGCGCCTCGAAATGCCAAGGCAACTGCAGAACCAAAAAAGAAGAAACACAGAAAAGAGTGATCGAACCGTTACCTTCTGTCTCCGGATCGCCACATCAGTGGTTGGATATCCTAACGGACACCGCGCTACCACGGAACAGGTAATCCTCGTGTACTCGGTTGCTCACTTCTGAACCAAATTTTCCGTCCGGTTATATCTCCTCAACGTACTCCCTAACCTATTAGCGTTAGGAATAATATTACTCCTTTCATGAAGCGCGTCAAAAAATCTGGACTCATGGCGCTTCGGCGCGTGGGCCATAGATGAAGAGCGAAAATGGCGTTTTCTAGATGTAAACTGAAAACGTTTGGAGATGAGAAAATGGCAGCATAATATGCTGAGGTACGTATCATCCACAGTCGAAGTTCCTCTGGTGGCTTGCTCATAAGCAGGGTTTTTGTAATTCCAATGTGTTCATAAGATATCTTCCTGCACGCCCAGAAAAGCAGTAAACAGCCATTCCGTGGTAATGGGACTCGTCTACAATGAGCATCCCACGATTTATCATGAGCAACCGTCCATGCGCAACCCGTTGGACAAAGTCAAACAAGGTTAGTGCACGGAGTAACACCAGTCGATGTCCGTGGTCACCACATATAGTGCAGCACACAGTAATCCTGATGCTAACAGAGTGTTATCACTAAAACATTACCACACAGCGCTACTAGTTCGAATGTAGTACTAGTTGATATGAGTATAGATGCAAGTGAATCGGAAGCCCAACTGGTGGTATGTTCGGTCCTACATCTGATAGGACGAACAGTGACTGCAAACATGCGTCAACCATCGACCGCTTATAAGTAGTCCTTACTCCAGGCATAATGAGTCTATGTGCTATATACAGGTGATCGATCGCCATACGCATCGCGTGGCGTAGTGCTACCTGGAGACTGACAGCCTTGGAAGACGACCACATTTTGAGCATGCACCAGTTCACTGCCGACTTTTCGTCCGGAAAGTTGCCTCACTATGCTCAAGCTATTAGGATGCCATGTGAAGAGTTACGCCTAAACGATCCGAGGACAAGTTTCAGTGGAATAATGTAACCGCCACCGAGTACGGCAAAAGAATTAGTTGTGGCGACATGAATTAACACAGGCAATAACTAATGCAAACATGAGCCTACGGATATTCGAATCTTATCTGCCACTGGGCACTCAGCGACCAATCCTAGTTCAACGACCCGCTGAAGAAGGAACACTCACGGGATAATCCAATCCTTCTAGTCCCACTTGAATAAATGGGCTATCGGGCACAGAATGTAACGGGGAACGGCATGACTAGGAAAGTCAGAGGGTCGTTGAAAATGAAGAAATAGTTGGGGGTGGCAACTGCGGACTATATTTATGGGCGAAAGGTCAGTTAATTTTTCAACAGGAAGTCGCGTATCCTAACTCTTCATCCTATGAGAGTAGAATTACACTTGCGGTAGACTATGACTGCTTCTCATATTCAAAAACGCTATCGAAACTTTCGACTGCTCGGTTCCGTTGGACATACTCAAACTAAAAAGTCGGCACACTCTGAGTGCCTTAGGCTGAAAATATCGTCGCATGGTGTTGACTGTCCAGCACCTTTCCGACAAATGGGGTGAAACAAAACCAGCCAGAATAAGCACTGCGGTTCTACTAGGTCTCCACCACCGTCATGTCATCAATACGGCAGCCATGTTTATCCAGAGTCGAGGAAAAGAACGTGTCAAATAGAAAAACATAAATCGCACGGGTGCTTTTGAGCAAGTGACGCTAGACCGAAATGTGTATGCGGCTAGTGAGCCCGTTGGATAGAATAAGATTAGCTTTTCCCAAGGTACGATCCCAGACATTAGCCATACCCGCCAATGCAAAATGTAGTCCGCAGTATCTCAGCAAAACATCTGACTACGAGTCAAATGTAAAGAATCCACCCGAAGGGCTTTGCGTGATCGATGCTCGAGGAACCTCAAAAGGTAAAAGTAGCACTCGATGGAGTAAGCAGAGAACGCATGGTACTAGCACGCAAGCTGATTGATTCCATTATCCGACTCCTCAATATATGCGGGCTAATGACATGTGTTTCTTTTCTCTAGCTAACGTGTATAATGATGATGACGATTTGGCCCTCAAGTTGAGACCCCAGTTGGCACGTGTCTACATGACGTCCGATCTGACTACCGACAACACATATTCGGGCGAACTCGCTCACTAACAAATTTCGCGGTAATCCATGCATGAAATGCGGGGGAACTGCTGCACACGCAACTATGCATCCCGCGGTGCATACGCTCATTCACCCCATCTAGCGTTACTGGGATCCTACGGGAATACAGCACCTAGCATAGGAAGAGGTATACTAACACCAACATGCGCGACGTAATCGAAATGATAGGTTTGCATCATAGTAACATTGGTCCCTGTTTGCGGTTATTTATTCCGATATGCGCCTGCAGTCGGACAGCCGAGTGTCCCATGGTGCTGATATGGCCAGTGCAATTGAGACAAATTAGAATTAGTGTAGTAAAGCCGATGCAAATGCGACCCATGGTTAAACACCGATCAGCCGTGACTGTGATTAGAAGTGGGCTGGCGTTATGACGGAAGTAGGGTCGGCACAAACATATTCAACTGATGTGGACAAGCTAACATACAAATTAGTTAGTTACCTAAAATTTGAACATACAAAAGTGAAGGTAAAACAGTGAGGCCGTCAAAAGGTGCCAAGGACCTAGGGAACCACGACGAAGTTGGTTGACAGGAAGAAGCAAGGAGCTCTTACCCGGAACCCATCGACTGATTGGGAAACGATTCTAATAAGCGCTGACGGTACTAAAGTACATGCGCTTGTCTAGGCCAACGTTGAAAACAGAAGGAGCAGGCATCGGTGCCAGATCTTCGAAAGTTAACGGAGGCCATTACTAAAATTGTATGAGGCAGTTAGCGGCCGAGACACGAGACAAGCACAAACTGCCAGTAGGCCGGAAAACACTACAGATTATTAACTGTGAAAGGCTTGGAAATCCGATGGGAGCAAGATCTTGGCTCAGGTGGAGGCGGCAACCTTCCGGCCTGGGACCTGCACTGAGGAAAATGCACATAAAAACGACTATACATAAAACTTTTACAGAATTACAAACGGAAAATATCGATGCAGTATGCACTCTTGGTACGTATCAAGAACGCCTGCGGTAGACCACCATGCCTTGAAACAGTAGAGGATTGCGCCCCAAGCGAAGAAACGTACTGACCAGCATGGGTAAACCAAAACGAGATATCAACGTGAGGCCACAAAAGGTGTCAGAACGTACGGTTCAGGCAACTTGCAACGGCTGACCAGCGGAAGAACTGGAGCTGTGCCTGAGCCGAAACAATAAATCCCATCTCCCGCAACGTGAATTAGCAGGTACTAAGGGTAATACTGCTTCAACTACGATCTACAACATGGCACGGCTCTAGAGTATTGGACATTTTTAGGCTAGCCCACGCAAATACGTGCATGCATACACTATTAATTCAGTTTCTCCAATAATTCCACTTTCACCCTCATAGTTCACGCACCTTTACTTTTTTTTCTTTTTTGATTTCACAAAACGGAAGAGCACGGTACAGGACGACGTAGTAAACGATACCGAAAGTCCAAAGCCGGAAGTGGAAACAGTAAAAGAAAATAGTAGGAAAATTAGAGGAAGTAAAACAAGCATTGGTTCTGCAAAATAAGTTAAATGCAGTTACATAGAAATATTACAACACTAAAGCAAAAGGCGCTAACTTTGAAACAATTTACACAAAGGCGATATTGACTCTGCCCTGAAACTTAAAAAGGCTGATTAAGGTGTGCAAAAAGAAAGTTGCAGATGTTATTAAATGCCAAAAATCCGGAAACTGGCTATCCAACGACGCTTTAACAAGTTTTTCTTAGAAATAACTTCTTTACTTTTTTCGTTACATCTGCTTTCAGAGTTAGTTGGAGAAGGATTGCCACGAAAGAACCTTAGTAATACTTTTAATGATACGTAAGCTTCAGTTGTGCAAAGCAGCATCTCGACATGATAACAGACTATGATTTTGCGAAGGAAAATTTGATTCCAATAAACATGGCAATGAGATTATTATTCTGTGATAGTGCTTCAATCAAATAATTTCTGGTTCAAGTTCAAGTGGGACCGGAACAGTAGGATAAATACCCGTGAGTGTTCCTTCCGTGACGTGTCGTTGATCCAGGGTATTATTCGTCCGTGTTAACTGGAATCCAGAAGAGTTAGATCAGCGCGCGCGAATCACACCACGGTCAACCAATTAATACCCAGGCGACCTGCACTGGCAGTCCCCGCCGCAACGGTCACAGGAAATAAAAAAGAGAAGTACGAAAGTAATAAGAGCGTCAAAAACGTAATAGATTAAATGATTCAATAAGACGAATAAGCTAGGACGTGAAGGGGAATGTTAAGAATTGAAGGCCAAGAGCCTCGAGTCGGTGTTCGAACTCTTTCACTGCTGGTGCCAATACCACGTTCCATGAATCCGCCACTCCGCCCGATAAACGAAAGTCCGCCCGGATTGCATCCGATCGAGGTTTGTGTAGCTTCAGCTAGTGACCTCGGAGGGCTGGAAAGCGAGCCGGTTGGAAAAGCCTGGATAAATCGGGTCCGATTTTACCGGTAAGTATACGTTAGATCAATACGAGGTCACCTCGATGTTGACGATAGTGCGTCGAGAACATTCCCAGCGCAAGTAGTTTTTCTAGGTAAGAATGGTTCCGCAGTCCATGGACCAGTTTGGTTCCATCTCTCAACACTATCTCCACTGACATCCTGTCCATGATTAAGCAAGGTGGACAAGTCTGGATGCTGTATTCCAAGTGTGGCTCGACAAATGTTAAGCATGACCTAACAAACAGCGCCCGTGATGGTCCCGAATGCCAAGCGGCTCATCCACAACATTCTAAAACACTTGCACGTAGCTATCCTCCAGTTCTCACTGGATTTAAGTACTGAAGACAATGTGACACATAGGTCTACCAATGGGGCAACACGGTGTAAATCATTACCGCCAAATAAATAACGCGTTTGGGGGTTGGCGGCCCTATTCGTAGAGGAAACACGTTGTTAAATTTATGGGCAACAGCCACAGAGCAGTTTAGTACCAAAGTTTTTCGAGGGCCCGGTGCAGAGTCTGGCCACCATCGAGGTCGAACACTGTGTTCCAAAACCATAGGCCATCTGCAGAAATGTGAGATGGCACCCCCAAACGTTCGTGCAGCTCAATGAAAAACAGAGAAAATACAAATGCACCAAGCACCGAAACCTGAGAGACACACTAAGGATTAAATGACGGAAAGACAGACTAGACCCCACACGAACAAACATCCCCCAATCCAGAAACTTGGTGATAAATTTTAGTAACCTATCGCTGAAGCCTATAGCGTTACCTGCCACAACAAGTTTTAGGTGTTTTCTGCACAAACCAAAAAATACCTTTTGCAACTTTCGGTAGTGATCGGCTAACTATTTTTGTCGCGAGCTGGAGATTTCTCTGCTAGATTCTGTAAACCAATTTAACAGACTGTAAACCTTATTTTTCTTAGGTATAAGGGAAATTGGTGGTTCCTTTGTTATTATGGTGCTCGTGTTTGTAGGCGTAGCCTGTTAATATATTCGTTGCTACTTTTAGTTAGTTTGCGAGTCCAACTCTTTGCAAAGGAGCCACACCGCGTTCATCTGAATGCTGTTGACGTTGATTGCTTTGTTGCCTACCGCAGTCCGGTTCACGCAACTAGTGTCGGCTAAAACTTTTCCTTTTAATGTGATGGTAAAGGTATCCGGTCGATGTCGCCCTCGGACCCATTAACCAATTCATCGGCTGTTTGTGTTAAAGCAATTTGCTCAGCACCGGTTACTGGTGCTTCTGGTGGCACGCAATGTGACCTCTGCTGTCGTTGTTTCCATGGGGCTTGCACTGGGTTGGGTAGGCAGCAGTATATCCTCCTGGAAAACAGCGATGGTTTATCTTATAATGGCCCTGATTGTGTTAAGCCAAAAGCACCTCGTCTAGTCCAAAATGCCGAAGTTGAAACGTTGGTGGATAGAGCGGGTACCCTACTATATTATTTTAGTGCCTTTAAGGGGTAGGTTTCGCAAATCGTCGTAAGCCTTGAACGTGCAGGAATTCTCGGAACTATCGTGGGTTCAGTCGACTGCATAAATAGCACGGCTTCGCAGGATTCACGAACACATGAGGCGGTGCCTGAAGATGGTAAACATCCTGGGGTTTTATTGAACTCAGTTGTGAGTGCGGAAGTTTTACAGGTCAGTGTTTCTGCGAAACTAAAGCGGCGAAAAATAAAGAAATCGATCACTACAACCATATCCAAGCTAAAAGTTGTAGCGGAGGCAGAAAACTCTTCCATCGCATTGCCGGAATCCTTATCCTGGCCACCCAAGGAGTATATGAACTCCAGCGCTGTGCCAGTCAATGCTACCTTAATATTTGTTCTAGGCACCCGTCGTCGTAGTGTTGGATTTATGGAAAGCATGGTTAACTTTAGTAGTATCGCGGAGTCCTCTGCGGCCTTTCCGAAAGATGGCAGGCTTGACGACCTTCACTGTTCCAAACGTTACGTTTCTAAACTACCGCCACTCGAGGTTCATAGAGTTAGAAGTACAAAAATTACTAGGCTTGGGAACATATCGGTTGCCAGTACTAAAGGTAGGCCCCGTCTATTGCGTGTGGTCCTGACTACACCGGAGGAGCGCTAACCTTTGTGCTTGAACTTTAGGCGAAAGGGTTCCGGAATGAGTATACAGCCTGACCTACGTTAATGAACAGTATAAAACTTAGCGGGGACATCAATAGCTTACAGCACGGCAAAAGAGATAGCGGGAAAAGTTTATGTTTCGTGGGTTTTGAGGGATGAGCTGGCGGTTCACTTCCGCCCTACAAGAACCAATTCTGGTAGCACTCAACCCAGGGCTCCCCATACCAGACGTTTGCACATAGTTCTCAGTAACGTGCGTGGCCTGCCATACAAGCGGTGGGAAGTTGGTGCCCTAATGGACAACTCACCTCCTGAAATATTGTTGCCTTCTGACGTCATGGACAGTGAATTATCCGTTCCGGGCTAGGCAATACGGTGACATGACCGCCCATCTGGTCGCCTCCGACATGTGTTGAACATACAAAAGTGAAGGTAAAACAGTGAGGCCGTCAAAAGGTGCCAAGGACCTAGGGAACCACGACGAAGTTGGTTGACAGGAAGAAGCAAGGAGCTCTTACCCGGAACCCATCGACTGATTGGGAAACGATTCTAATAAGCGCTGACGGTACTAAAGTACATGCGCTTGTCTAGGCCAACGTTGAAAACAGAAGGAGCAGGCATCGGTGCCAGATCTTCGAAAGTTAACGGAGGCCATTACTAAAATTGTATGAGGCAGTTAGCGGCCGAGACACGAGACAAGCACAAACTGCCAGTAGGCCGGAAAACACTACAGATTATTAACTGTGAAAGGCTTGGAAATCCGATGGGAGCAAGATCTTGGCTCAGGTGGAGGCGGCAACCTTCCGGCCTGGGACCTGCACTGAGGAAAATGCACATAAAAACGACTATACATAAAACTTTTACAGAATTACAAACGGAAAATATCGATGCAGTATGCACTCTTGGTACGTATCAAGAACGCCTGCGGTAGACCACCATGCCTTGAAACAGTAGAGGATTGCGCCCCAAGCGAAGAAACGTACTGACCAGCGTGGGCAAACCAAAACGAGATATCAACGTGAGGCCACAAAAGATGTCAGAACGTACGGTTCAGGCAACTTGCAACGGCTGACCAGCGGAAGAACTGGAGTTGTGCCTGAGCCGAAACAATAAATCCCATCTCCCGCAACGTGAATTAGCAGGTACTAAGGGTAATACTGCTTCAACTACGATCTACAACATGGCACGGCTCTAGAGTATTGGACATTTTTAGGCTAGCCCACACAAATACGTGCATGCATACACTATTACTTCAGTTTCTCCAATAATTCCACTTTCTCCCTCATAGTTCACGCACCTTTACTTTTTTTCTTTTTTGATTTCACAAAACGGAAGAGCACGGTACAGGACGACGTAGTAAACGATACCGAAAGTCCAAAGCCGGAAGTGGAAACAGTAAAAGAAAATAGTAGGAAAATTAGAGAAGTAAAACAAGCATTGGTTCTGCAAAATAAGTTAAATGCAGTTACATAGAAATATTACAACACTAAAGCAAAAGGCGCTAACTTTGAAACAATTTACACAAAGGCGATATTGACTCTGCCCTGAAACTTAAAAAGGCTGATTAAGGTGTGCAAAAAGAAAGTTGCAGATGTTATTAAATGCCAAAAATCCGGAAACTGGCTATCCAACGACGCTTTAACAAGTTTTTCTTAGAAATAACTTCTTTACTTTTTTCGTTACATCTGCTTTCAGAGTTAGTTGGAGAAGGATTGCCACGAAAGAACCTTAGTAATACTTTTAATGATACGTAAGCTTCAGTTGTGCAAAGCAGCATCTCGACATGATAACAGACTATGATTTTGCGAAGGAAAATTTGATTCCAATAAACATGGCAATGAGATTATTATTCTGTGATAGTGCTTTAATCAAATAATTTCTGGTTCAAGTTCAAGTGGGACCGGAACAGTAGGATAAATACCCGTGAGTGTTCCTTCGTGACGTGTCGTTGA